AATAAATAAATATTTAAAAAAAAGATTTATTTATTACATGTACAATGTGCCTCCTGCATGTACACCTCCATGCCAGAAGAGGGCACCAGATCTCATAACAGATGGTTGTCAGCCACCACGTGGTTGCTGGAATTGAACTCAGGACCTCTGGAAAAGAAGCCAGTGTTCTTAACCTCTGAGCCATCTCTCCAGCACCCACACAGTATCTTCTTTAATGAGGTTCTGCTCCACTGTGCACAGTAGTCTATAAAATGAAATATTTTTGTATTTCTTATTTAATGCTGCTTTACAATTTACCATTTCAGTTTTTTTTCCAGTCATCAGTCCCTATTCTATTCCAGCTTTGGCTCCTTTGGCTGGAGGTTCAATGCTGACTCAACAGCCCTGTGCCCTCTGCCCCTGGGACTCACACTCTAGATGGGTAGGAGAGGGATAAGGACATGCTAGAACATTTTTTAGATGTATTTTTTTTCAATTTTGTTTTTATTAGATGTATATTTTAAGCTGATGAGTGTGCAGGTGCACCAGGCACTGGATCCCCTGGAACTGGAGTCTCAGATGGTTGTGAAGGACCACGTGGGTGCTGGGAACTGAACCTGGATCCTCTGCAACAGCAACAGGTGCTCTTAACCTCTGGGCATCTCTCCAGTCCCTACCTGTAGCTTTTACATAAGGAAACCGCACAGCCTGGCTCACAGCAAGATGGCTGATAAGATGGCTGACCACAGAGAGAAACTAGATGCAAAGGAGGAGACAGTGTTAGTGCAGAGCTCTGGAGTGAGGGTGCTGGGCACTGCTGGGGTGAGGGCTGAGCAGAAGGCAGAGGACTGAGCAGAAAGGAGACAGAGGCAAAGGGGGAAAACCTAGGGCAGTAGAGTTCCCGTTTGAGGATATAGTTTACTCATTACACTGGACAAATATGCAGAACACTGCGGAGCATCATTTTTAAATATTTATTTATTATGTATACTATATTCTGTTTGTATGCCTGCAGGCCAGAAGAGGGCACCAGGCCTCAATACAGATGGTTGTGAGCTACCATATGGTTGCTGGGAATTGAACTCAGGACCTTTGGAAGAGCAGGCAGTGCTCTTAACCGCTGAGCCATCTCTCCAGCCCCACTGCGGGGCATCTTATGTCCCACACTGAATACTGTGGGGGTTTGAATGAGAATGGCCCCCACACAGGCTCAGAGGTTTGGATACTTCAGCTCCAGCTGATGGAAATGTTTGGATAGGATCAGGAAGTATGGCCCTGTTGGAGGAAGTGTGTCTCTGGGGTTGGGCATGGAGGTTTTAAAGACTGCCACTATTCCCAGTGTCTCTGACACTTGCCTGTGGTTCAAGATGTGAGCTCTCGGCTGTTCATGCCAGCACCCCTTCCTCTGCCATCCTGGACTCAAACCCTGTGAAAACTTGAACCCAAATGAAACAAATCCTTTTATAAGTTGCTGGAGTCACAGTGTCTTCACAGTCATAGAAAAGTAACTAAAGCCAGGTGTGGTGACACAGCCTCTAATCCCAGGACGAGGGATGCAAAGGCAGGGGGGTTTCTGTGAGATCAAGGACAGACAGAGCTGTGCAGACAGACCTTGTCTTACAAAAACAAAAACAAACCAAAACCCAGGAGAGACCTGCAGGTCAGACTGATTTCATTCTCTCCTCCACCTTCTGCTTTCTTCTTCTCGTCAATAGTCAGACCCTGGATCTTCTAAAAGAAAAGTCGCTTCTGGGAAAACAATGGCAACAACAAGCAGGCTGGTATGCAGGGCAGAGATGCTTCTCTTTAAAGCAGAGGAGCTGCCCTGCAAGCACCACACAGACTCCCACAGAGATCAGGCTCCTGTGTTCACCTGAAGTGGGCAGCTTGCAATGCCAAGTCTGACGCTCAGGGTCTCACCTGTAAACAGAGACTTTGCCTCTTCTTCACTCAGGATCCTGTCTTCACAGCCTGGTGATTACACTCAGACTCCTAGTGATTCTTCCCAGATGATTGTCTGTGGCTCTAGGTGCTTGTGATTTTTTATTTTATTTTTATGTGAATTGGTGTGAAGGTATCAGATCCCCTGGAACTGGGGTTACAGACAGTTGTAAACTGCCATGTGGGTGCTCCAGGTTCTCTGGAGGAACAGGCAGTGTGCTTGACCTCTGATCCATCTCCGCAGCCCCTGTGCTTCTGTTTTACACGGATCTTCATTCCATAGTCCTGAGATTGTCCGCGTGGAGCTGGGTCCNCAGACTCCCACAGAGATCAGGCTCCTGTGTTCACCTGAAGTGGGCAGCTTGCAATGCCAAGTCTGACGCTCAGGGTCTCACCTGTAAACAGAGACTTTGCCTCTTCTTCACTCAGGATCCTGTCTTCACAGCCTGGTGATTACACTCAGACTCCTAGTGATTCTTCCCAGATGATTGTCTGTGGCTCTAGGTGCTTGTGATTTTTTATTTTATTTTTATGTGAATTGGTGTGAAGGTATCAGATCCCCTGGAACTGGGGTTACAGACAGTTGTAAACTGCCATGTGGGTGCTCCAGGTTCTCTGGAGGAACAGGCAGTGTGCTTGACCTCTGATCCATCTCCGCAGCCCCTGTGCTTCTGTTTTACACGGATCTTCATTCCATAGTCCTGAGATTGTCCGCGTGGAGCTGGGTCCTTGTCTCAGCACAGTAGACCCCTTCTCCGTGGGAAGAGACCCCTATGGAGACCAAATACAGCAGGACACTGACCCTCTCTACACTACACGTTTCCCTGTGTGCACAAACTTCCATGGTACAGTTGCTTTAGTGAATAAACCACAGTAAGAGAGGAACTGGAACTAATAATAAAGAGAATAATGGTGACAGTGTGGCTGAAGTTACATAACCTGTGACCCCCCCCCTCTCTCTCTGTGACCTTCAGTCCCACTTTATGAGCTGATGAGATGAGGGAGATGAATGTCACAGACTTGTGGGACACTGGATCTGATAACAGTTGGTTTCTGAGTTCCTGGGCAGAGAGTGATTTTCATGGCAGAGGTTTCATCTGTGTTCAACAGTGTGGAGAAAAATTAGATTTATATAATTTTGATTCTCTGGATTTTGACTTGATGTCTTCAAATCACAGCCAAACATAACTGAAGTAGAAAGTGAAAGCAGAGGTGAACAAGGCCTCCTTCCTGCAGGGAGAGTCACATATGACATAGTGTGTCAAAAGTGCTTAATCAGAGCTGTAGAATCCCCAGTCATCTCCCGATGCCGGTGTCCACAGCAGCCCCGCACCCTCCAGGACTTCAACAGCGCCTGTTTCCTTGAACATCCATTTTAAGTGCTGTGTGTATTTTACCTGGAAACTTCATGTGAAAGACCCTCTAAGAGGACTTTCTCTCAGGAGGAGACCTCCCCACTGCCAAGGAACAGGCCGAGACCATACGGATGCAAATCGCAAGAGGTTTATTGGGTAAACACAGGTACCTGTGGGCGGCAAGTCTTTCGGAGGACTTGCGCGCCTGCCGACTGGAGGGCAGGTTTTTTATAGGAAAGAGCAAAAAGCAAGTTTACAGAAGCAAAAAAAGCGTGGTTATCGGAATGAGGCGGGGGCATGAATGGTTTCCTCTCTCAGCATGGGTGTCAGCAAAAGTCATCCTGTTCCTATCTTATAGATATCCTGTTTTGCAGTCAACCTGCTTTGTTGATGTCCTATCTTATTGATATCCTGCCTTGCAGTCTTCCTATCTCATCCTGCTCTCTCAAGCACATGGGATGTTCTTATGAGAGCAGGCTGGCTGCTGCGGGTTTTGAGGAGGGGGTCTGTAGGGTCTTTCAATGCTCTCAGGTTTCATCCTGACGAATCTAAGGAGCAGTTGTCCTTAGGCGCTCAGAGACACCACGACAAACAGCGCTCCATCCCGCAGCACAGGGCTCAGCCAAAGTCTTAGTCCCCAGGAGGGTGAGGTCTGGGTGGGGAAGCCCAGAGCTGGGGATTCCCCAGATACCCAGTTTCACTTCTCCAGCTCCTAACCTGGGTCGGGTCCTTCTGCCCGGACACTGATGACAACTCGGCGGTTCTCACTCCCATTGGGTGACGAGATCCCGGGGAACCAATCAGCGTCGCTGCGGTCACGGTTATAAAGTACACACAGACCGCGGAACTCAGAGTCTCCGCAGATCCGAGATGGGGGCGATGGCTCCGCACTGGCTGCTCCTGCTGCTGGCGGCCGCCCTGGCCCCGACCCTGACCCGCGCGGGTGAGTGCGGGGTCGGGAGGGAAACGGGCTCTGCGGGGAGGGGGGGCGGCACCGGGGAAGCCGCGTCCCTACCGTGGCCCAGCCGGACCCTCCCGCCCCTTCCCCACCCGCGTCCCGAGCCCCGCGCCCGGCTCCCCTCCCGGCCCGCGCTCCTGCCCGGGGTCCCGGGAGCAGGGTCGGGGTCTCACCGCGCGCCGCCCCCAGGATCGCACTCGCTGTGGAATTTCTACACTATCGTGTCCCGGCCCGGCCTCGGGGAGCCCCGGTTCATCGCCGTCGGCTACGTGGACGACACGCAGATTGAACGCTTCGACAGCGACGCGGAGACTCCGAAGGCCGAGCCGCGGGCGCCGTGGATGGAGCAGGAGGGGCCGGAGTATTGGGAGAGGAGCACACAGATCGTCAAGAACAACGAGCAGGCTTTCCGAGGGAACCTGAAGACCCTGCTCGGCTACTACAACCAGAGCGAGGGCGGTGAGTGACCGCGGTCGGAGGAAACGACCCCTCCGCGTCCCCACGCACGGGCCGGAGTCGCCCCGGGTCCCAGATCCGAGGTTCGGGAGGAGAGCGGGGACCGGACCCGGTTTCCCTTTCGGTTTAGAGTCCGCGGGTGGGCGAGGCCGCGGGAGTGGGTGATGGGGGCGGGGACTCGGGGCAGGGCTGTTGCGCGGCTGACCTCTGGTGGGCGGGGCCGCGGGTGACCCCGGGACCGAACAGGTGGGCGGGGCTGACCGCGGGGTCCCCGCAGGCTCTCACACCATCCAATGGATGTACGGCTGTGAGGTGGGGTCGGACGGGCGCCTCCTCCGCGGGTACAGTCAGTTCGCCTACGACGGCCACGATTACATCACCCTGAACGAGGACCTGACGACGTGGGCGGCAGCGGACACGGCGGCGCTGATCACCAAGCGCAAGTGGGAGCGGGCTGGTGGTGCAGAGAGAGTGAAGGCCTACCTGGAGGACGAGTGCGTGCAGTACCTGCACAGATACCTGGAGATCGGGAAGGACAAGCTGCTGCGCACAGGTGCCGGGGCCGCGGGCAACTCCTCCTTCTGCCCTCGGGCTGGGCTCAGTCCTGAGGAAGAGGAAACCCTCACTGGGGTCATGCCCCTGTCTCTGAGGGCAGACAGGGTCCCTGGGTCTCCTGATCCAGCATGGCAGGGACCGCACTGACCTCCCAGGGCTCAGCCTTCTCCCTGGACAGTTCCACATCTGTCTCAGGAGGGAGGAGAGAGGATCCCGACATCACCAACAGTGGCTCCTTCAGTCTGCAGCCTCTGTCAGCCATGGCCTCACCCAGGCCGGGTTCTCTGCCCACACCCAGTGTGTGTGGACTCTGACTCCTGTCATCTGAGTGTGTCAGCCCTTACACACCAGGACCGGAGTCTCCTTTACCTGATGGGAGACATGGATGCCCCTACCTTAGGCTGCTTCCCCAGTTTGTAGAACTTTCCAAAGAATACATTATCCCAGATTCCTGTGTGTAAGGTTTCCATTCCTCTTACACCCACATTGTATCGCTTCCTAGAATGGTCACGTGGGAACTTATGAGGTGCCCTAGACAAATACTAAATTGTGGAGTTTTTTTTTCTCCTTCCTTCCTTCCTTCCTTCCTCCTCCTTCTCCTCCTTCCCTTCTTCTTCTTCTTCTTCTTCTTCTTCTTCTTCTTCTTCTTCTTCTTCTTCTTCTTCTTCGTCGTCGTCGTCGTCGTCGTCGTCGTCGTCGTCGTTGTCTTCTTTTTCTTTTTCTTCTTCTTTTATTATTATTTTCAAAGTTGTCATTTTCCTTAGTTTTTCTTCCTCACTTGGATGGTATTCCTTCTCTCCCACAGGTGCCATGTGAGACTGATAATCTGGATAATTAGACTAGTTAAATCAGTGGGATTTTTTGAGGTTGCTGTAGTTTAGTTTTTTGTTGTTTGTTGTTGTTTATTTTTATTTTTTTTGGTTTGTCGACACAGGGCTTCTCCATAGCTTTGGAGCAAGTCAGAGTTCCCTTTAAATGAGAAAGATTCCTGTGAGTTTAAGATTGTTTTCTGCCAGAATTAGCCATCAGGAGCCCTCCTGCCCTCCCTTAGCCCCAACAAGTTACAGTGTTGCCCTAGTGAATTAGGAATTGAACTTCCTCAGAGACGGGGTCTTCTGCAACTCCAGGACTGGAGGGACAGGGAAGATCCACACACCCTGTGAGCACTGCTGTGTCCCATGAGTGCTGCACTGGGCTCCACAGCACACTTCAGGGATCCTGAGTGACAATACCTGGTATCTTGTTCCCCCAGAGGCAGGGATTGGAGAATCAGTTTCTCTGGCTGAGTGTCAGAGGCTCACCACATTTCTGCTGCTCACTGTGGTGATGGCTGTTCACCTGGATGGACAGTTAATGCTGGACAGAAAGATGGCCACAGTGCTTGGGCCTTGATGGTGTCAGCAGAAGTTTCTGGTGCCTTTCATGTAGACCGTTCCTCTTAATTTCTTACTTTTATGTGAATTTAATCACATATAAATTAATTACTTTCCATCCCTTCATCCTTTTACTACCTACTTGATGCTATAGAACATCATAAGAAGACGATGTTGACCTGCTGGCTCATGTGGATTCCCTCCTAGTTTCTGGGTCACCAGGAAACTGTGCAGTTCTGTGATGAGGGGACCAGCTCTACCTGCAGGTCACTAGTGTGATGACAGAAGTGTTCAAACAGACACATAGTTCAGTGTCATCATTGATTTAACTTTGTCTTTGCAGATTTCAGTTTATCTTCTTAATTGTGGGTTTTCTTAAACCTTCCACACAGATCCCCCAAAGGCACATGTGACCCATCATCCTGGGTCTAAAGGTGATGTCACCCTGAGGTGCTGGGCCCTGGGCTTCTACCCTGATGATATCACCATGAACTGGCAGAGGGAGAAGGAGGAACAGACTCAGGACATGGAGCTGGTGGAGACCAGACCTTCTGGGGACGGAACCTTCCAGAAGTGGGCATCTCTGGTGGTGCCTTCTGGAGAAGAGCAGAGATACACATGCCATGTGTACCATGAGGGGCTGCCAGAGCCCCTCACCCTGAGATGGGGTAAGGAGGGAGTGGGTGCAGAGCTGGGGTCAGGGAAAGCTGGAGCCTTCTATAGACCCTGAGCAGGGTCAGGGCTGAGAGCTGGGGTCATGACCCTCACCTTCCCTCCCTGTCCTTCCTTTCCCAGAGGCTCCTCAGTCCACAGTCCCCATCACAGCAGTCATTGCTGGTCTGGTTCTCCTTGGAGTTGTGACCATCATTGGAGCTGTGGTGGCTGTTGTGAGGAAGAGGAGGAGAAACCCAGGTAGGAAAGGGCAGGGTCTGAGTTCTCTTCAGCCCCTTTTAGAAGAATCTCTGCCTCATTAATGGGAAACACATCCACACCCCTCATTGCTCCTGTCTCTACCCTGGGTCTGCTGTCAGTTCTGGAAACTTCCAAGGGTCGGGGACTTCCCTGGTCTCTCACAGCTTTTCTTCTCACAGGTGGAAAACGAGGGGACTATGCTCCAGCTTCAGGTAAGTGTAAGGAGCCAGATAATCCCTGATTCCTTTGGGTTGAACCTGGATTGTTTGAGGAAGTATGACAATCCATATTAGCTCCTTCAGCAAAATATTCTGGGGTCCCTGTTTTTACGTTTCCACATATATATATCAATATTATTTTACCCCAGGCAGGGACAGTTCCCAGAGCTCGGATGTGTCTCTCCCAGACTGTAAAGGTGACCCTCTGGCGACTGACTTGGGGAGGGGCAGAGTGGACATGATTGGGTTTCAGGGACCCACAAAATCACCTTTGAGTGAGTGGAGGGTTGTTGGAATGTTGTCTTCACAGTGATTGTTCATGACTCTTGTTCTGTAGCATGAAGACAGCTGCCTGGTGTGTATGGAGTGACAGACGATGTGTTCAGGTCTCTCCTGTGACATCCAGAGCCCTCAGTTCACTCTCAGAAATAGTACCTGATGTTCCTTGTGATCCCATGGACTCAGTGTGAAGAACTGGGGAGCCCAGCCCACCCCTGCACACCTGACCCTGTCCCTGCACTGCCCTGTTCCCTTCCACAGCCAACCTTCCTGTTCCTGCAGACAGGAGGGGACATCTCCATCCTGTCTCCTCCATGCTGCCCTGAGCTTCAGCCCTGACTTCCCCTCTGAAAATAAGAATCTGAATGTGAACTTGA